AGGGTTCGTACTCGTCGTCCGAGCTGCCCATTGTAAGCCTTATGTTCACCTGAAAAGATAGGTTAATAGTTATGTGCTATCCAACTAAGTTTTTGAATCTCACTACAATTTCTCTTCTTTCGTCAAGCCGCTATTGATATACGGGTGTACGGGAGGCGGCACGGATACTTAACAAGTTTCAGCCGCACCATGTGCCTGCGGGTTGGGACCATGTGAGCCCATATGTATTCAATGTCGGTAGCCGATATTGTATGGACATGAATGAGGGACAGTAAAGGGGTCGATCGCTTCGATATGAAAACCATAAGGTCATGGTATGGGGAAAGGGTCGTACGTGGTATGGCGCCAATATGGGCGCTGCCTATCGGCTACATGCGGCGCTGACATGAACCTTATACCGGTGACTATATGCGGACCATACTGTCCCCCTTCCATATCAGTGGCATATCTGAAGTCGCCCGGTGGTGTAGTCTATCCCATATCGCTTCCGAAAACGCCCTTCGAAGTGCTTTGCTGACTATACGCATAGGCGGTGTGTAACAAATATGATACCTGCCACTACAAAATGTGAAAGCGCAGGCATGGAATGAGACAGTCTTCTTCTGACAAACTTACACCGGTCCCGACCTCCATGTAGCTTTTCCTAGGCACACCTTAAAGCTCAAGGCGCACCGCCGCGTTCGAAGTGGCGACCGTCACCGTGCCCTCAGTCTTCCGTCCCTCCTCCCACCACGCATTCCCGCGCACCGAGACACCGTTGATGGTGTGCAGCTCAACGTGCCGCGTGCGGCGCTTGCCCGCGGGGTCCTCGACGTCCTGGTCCCACTCGACGGTCGGACGGAACCACCTTGAGGACTGGAGGTCAAACGACCCCTCGAAGGTCTTGGGAAGCGCGACGTGTGCACCGACATTGGACGTGTGCGCGTCCAGAGTGAGCGTGTGGCCCACGGGTGCGTCGATGATAGAGACATCGATCGGGCCGTTGGACGTGCGCGCGGAGACATCGTACTTCCCACCGGTGGCCGAGGAAGTGCTGGATTGGAGATGGACAGATGAGTCGATGTGGCTAGGCGTAAGGCAGTGGTAAGTTGATAACGATCATTGCATAGTGATGCAACACAGACGTACGCGTTAGAAGTCTTGAGTATGAGACGAGTGGGTTGCTCGCCGCGGCCATTCACGAGAGTCGCCTCGGCCACGATCGGGGCATTAGAGGTCTGGAGCTCGAGCGTGGTCGAGGTGTTGAACTTGCCGCGGATGGCAGTGTTGCTAGTTGTCGCACGAACGCGGTCCGCTGCCAGAGACTGTCTCATGCACTATCAGCATGCCATACCCCAAATTCAAGGAGGCGCAAAAGATACGCACATCAACATCGATGGGGCTGTTGCTGCTCCTCAATGACACCTCTTCGAAGTGAACCGTATCTGCAAGCTCCGCGAGGTGGTGCCTGAAAATCGGCAAGTCCGTGAAGAAGCGCTTGATGTTTAGCTTGTCGGAAGAAGGGAGATGAACATGAACAAAAAACCGAAGCTGGCGCTCGTTGTGCGGGTGCGACCAGCGCGGCGTGAAAATCCCGAGGCCCCACTTGCCCTGTCCGGCGTGGGTGCGGCATACCGTCGCGTCGTCGAGCGCGTCTGAGACACGGTACTCGACCTCGATGTCGACGACAGCGTTCTCGGAGTCGGTGTGCGCGTCCTGGGAGACGTCGAAGGTGCCGTACGCGTTCGCGCCCTCAGCGATGAACGAGAGCTCTTCGGCGGAGACCGGAAGCGTGAGGGTCGTGTGCGCGCGGTAGTGGTAGCCGTGCGTGGGCGCGCGATCGGAGTCGTCCTTCCAGTTGACATTGTCCTCGCAGATCGAGGGACTCCACTGAGCCTCGGGCTCCGTGGTCCCAGGACTTATTTCAGACCACTACAATCGCAAGAGTCCGTCAGCCTCGCAGCACATGATACAACCGGGCGAAACAGACTCACAGGGAGGGGACCCAAGCCCTTCTTGAAGGGCCGCTGGTGCAGGAGCAGGTGGAGCGCGACGAAGAAGAGAACGGTGCAGGCCAAGAAGTGCCAGAAACGCCGCCTGCGGGCGTTCCTAGGGCGTTCCTGTGGATTCACGTACGTCGACGAAGGCTGGTACACTGCCGCATACCCGGGCGGACCAACAGGCGGGGGCGTCAGGAGCCCGCGCATCTCGGGGCCCTTCTCCTCGGGGTATGTGGCTGAATAACCGGCTGCTGGAGGGTTCATGGTGGTAGTACGATGTTGACTGAGAGTTGCTGAAGTTGCGAAACGACGGAACGGCGGGGAGAAGTGATTATGACGTTGCTGGCTTTTATGTCGGATATGCTACTCCCTCCGCGCCACCAGGATCTTGATCCCTCTAGCGTCCCGTGCTCAGTCCATAGGAACGCGTCACTGCAGCGAGACACGCCCGCAGAGAGAATGGTCTTGAACAATATGCTGCGGGGATGGCGCATGGGCTAACGAGCAATCCGCAGCGGCTGTGCATCGACGCTGGCGGCTCCAGAGCCGACGTAAAGCGAGTGGCAGATAGCGAGGTTGGCAGAGTGCACACGAAGCGCAGCGGCTTGTGCCTCGAGCACATACTTATGAGTCTATGACGATGTCGAGACTATTCCCCGGAGAGTGCTCCGAGACGGCTGCGATCAGTCGCGATCATTCCCCTCCGATATAGCAATACCAATTGTGTACAATCTTTGGCGTCAAAGCAGCTGCGCTCGCCGCGAAACGTCTGAGCATGCAGTGCCGCAGCAGGAAAGATGACGGACTGACAGAGATCGGCAATATCTGCGCAGCCGAAGAAATCACCGTCAGAAGAGGAGACGCGGCACACGCGATCGCACCCTTGTGGAATCGAGTGAACAAGCAGCAGGATGGATGATTATGCCGTCTCCGAGCGATCTGGACTAACGAGCAGTCCCATGTAGCTCAAACAGTGTCTATGACAACTTTCAGCGACGCATCAGACAAGACACTTCAGAAACAACATACGAGATCGCCCACGGCCCGCGCTTAACGGTATCATCAGAGTATATTGAAAGGTCCCATCGCGAGGATTCTGCGGACAAGAGTTGCCACTTAAGATGTAAATCGGCCGTTAAGGTAGAAGTAGTGAGCATAGAACGATATCGCGCTTCTTCGGATGGGTGGTGCGCGTGCGTCACTTCCGGGAACAGATGAAATAGTTCATGTGCGAAGAGAGGATTGCATGTTGCGTGTTACTAACGTGGACACGACGCAAAAGTCCTAGGAACAGCGATGCCTCATGGGGTAGCAGCACAATGCGCGATGTGTATAAAGAGATGAACCGAGCTCACATTCGCTCCAGCTTATGCCCCCTTGACCTTGGAACTATTCAAGAACATCTGTTGCCCCTTCTTCTCCCCATACCACTCTGTAAATAGCGCCTTCCGCACATCCCACAACGACGCCTTCGTCCCGTTAACCTCCGCGCCCTCCAGCCCCAGGGAGTAATGCCCACGACCGTCCTTGATCCCTACCATCATTTCAGTCTTGAGCGGGCTCTGCACTAACCGCGTGCGCTTGAGGGGGAAGACGACCCCTTGATTTTTCGTATGCAGAGCAGATTGGATGACGACTTGCCGGCCGGGTACTGCCGTGCCAGATTTTGTGGTGGAAGAAGAAGAAGAAGCAGATGTAGCAGAAGGGACGATGAACATTCGACGAACAATGCGAGACCGGCCTCCAAGGAGGATGGCTCCGAGGACGATCCCTGTCGTGAATGTCGTGAGCGCGAAGAACCCTCTCTGCCACCACGGTCGTAGGACGTAGTGCCCTGATGCCTGGGACGGATCCTTAGTCTCCAAGGAGGACGACACGTTTTCAGGAGTTTCAGATGGAAGTTCTTCCCATATTGTCCAATGGTTCCATGACAGCTCGCACATGGTCGTGCTGAGACGTGTGATGAGAAAAGCGATAGTGAAAGAATGGGTGAGATGAGACGTACACAGTAATCAGATCCGCGGCAACAAGGAAGTACGTCCAACGAGTCCACCACGGCAAGCTTCCTCTGTCATACACCGGCTTCACATTTTCGATGTTGATTCCTTGAGACCGGAGAGACCGTGGACCGAAAAGAGATCGCCTAACCGCGGTGAGAAGGCTTGGAGGTGGCATATTTACGCCCCCGTCTGGCCCCTTCTGGTCGTGACGAGCACGAGCTACAGAGACGTAGAGAATGAGAAGGATAACGAAGGGTTGCAGTGCTCACGTTGAGGAGAGGCTCAGTCCAACAAATAGACGCCGACGAACCCCTTCTGGGTCCGGATATTTCTCCGTTTCTTCCGGGTCGACCATCACCATTCTCATCGGCGACGCACTTCGTATTATTTCTCATCTCAACGTCTTTGCGTGCAACAGTTCACTGTATCGTGTGTTGGCATGGCCGAGCCCAAGACCTCTGTCCCAATGCGAATATGACCTTCTTGATCCCTCGGTCACAAGGGTGAACCCGTGCAGCTCTTGTAAGTATCTCGGAAGAAATAGAAGCATATCATGAGGGTATGTGAACGTTTGTTATATTTGTGGACCTTGCACGATGAGTACTCTGTGGCTTTGTATAGGCAGGCCTGTTTTTAAGCTACCGGCGTCGAGGGGAATACCGAGCTTCACAGCTCAACGGAGATCAAGGCAAGGCCTCGGACCTCTTGTGTCACACTGAGAGCTTTCCAAAACCTTCCGCTGCAGCTGCGCCGATGGCTTCAGTGTCAGTGTGGCTTTTTGCCCTCCGCCCCAGCATGCTTTGCTACACATGATGTTTATACGGGGTGCAATACTCCGCATGGCGAGAACGCTAGTCATGAGGGACGGCGTCTCCTGGTCTCATCCATGCCTTCCATTCCCCTGCACATAACAAGCCAAGATGCCATACGTCAATGCTGCTAATCATCGGCTTTGGTAAGTGATGCAGATGCTTCTTACCGCGCCGACGGCCCGCTGTACGAAGAGGAGCAAGTCTTGCATCATATGGTTCCAGCTTCCCGGTCTTCGCGTATAACATATATACGGCGAACTTCATCACAGGCCTGTTCCAGATTGTCACTCACCCAACGATGCTTGTAACTCTGGCGAGCAGGACTCTGTCCCTGTATGTGCTCATCAGTGTCGTTCTCGCAGTGTCCGTCCCCCCTGCCCTCGAGTCCCGGGCTTCGGGTGCATGCACTCTCGAAGCCAGCGGTTCGGACGATGCTCCCGCTATCCTTGCCGCTGCTGCGGACACAAGCTGTCCTACCGTCACCATCCCGTCCGGTACAACTCTCTCTATCCAGTCGAAGCTCAATATGACAGGTCTCTCCAACAAACATATCGTATACATCACTCCACTGCATTCTAATTCCAATAGATGTATGCTCACCAATTCTGACAGGACTTGCAAGGCACGATCAAGTTCAGCGACGACCTAGACTACTGGAAGGACAACGCGTTTACGTTCTCCTTCCAGGACCAAGCAGCGTTCTGGCTCCTGGGCGGTACGAACATCGTCCTTGACGGCGGAGGAACGCTTGATGGCTCCGGCCAGGCTTGGTACGACGCCTTGTGAGTTTTCCTGTGTACATCAAAGGGCAATAGCGAAACTGAGTAGTACATATATAGTGCCAAAGATGACTCGACGGTCAGGCCAATCCTCCTCACCCTCTACCAAGCTACAGACATCACGGTGCAAAACATCAAGATGATCAACGGGCCTGAGTGGATCAACTTCGTCCGTATCGCCGTCCCTATACATTTATCTCATCGTTCCTGTTAGACGAATCGAGTCGTATACAGGTTAACGAAGGAAAGAACGTCGTCTTCCGCAATATCACCATTACCGCTGTCTCGACTTCGTCTAATGATGCGAAGAACACCGATGGTTGGGACATCTTCCGGAGCGACAACGTTACAATCGCGGACTCGAACATCACGAACGGCGACGACTGCGTTAGCTTCAAGCCTAGTACGTTTCCTGTGCTCGACGGTATCGTGTACACGCTGACGCTCAAGAGCATCCGATAGACTCCACGAACATCTTGGTGTCGAATTTGTCTTGCAATGGCTCCCAGTAAGCAGAGCACGCACAAACCACGGACACCTGGAGAGCTGAAATCTCATCATAGCGGTATCTCGGTTGGGTCCCTTGGCCAGTACGCCGGCGAGTACGACATTGTTGAGAACGTCCTCGCGACGTAATTTCTTTCACCTTCGGCTCTCCTTCTAGCTGGCCCCTTGCTAACGCACTGGGATACATCAGAAACATCCGCATGTCAAACGCACAGAACGGGGCACGCATCAAGGCTTGGGCGGGTAAAGATGTCGGTTCAGGCATCGTTAAGAACATCACATTCGAAGGCTTCGTCGAGAGTAACGTCGACAACCCGGTTATCATCGATCAATGCTACGAGACGAGCTCGAGCGACTGCACCAAATATCCGTCTAATACGTACATTGAGGATATTTGGTTCACCAAGTGCGTATAAGTTTGCTACATGCGCGAACGCGAAAGCTGACTTAGGTGGGGATTATCGAAGCATCTCGGGGACGTCCTCAGGCAAGGAGAAGGCTGTGGTCGCGAGCCTGTCCTGCTCACCGGATGGACGATGCAGTGACATCAACGTGAATGGCATAACTGTGACGTAGGTCGATTTCGTTCCGAATCGCATGAACTATATTCAACAGACTGCAGGCCGCCCTCAAAATACGGCGACCCTTCCTTCCAATGCCAGAACGTCGACGTATCCGGTGACGACGCCTCCCTTTTCGGGACGTGCAAGACGACAAGTTGAGTTTGACCGAGAGAATGCCATGGTTGTACGGATGTAGGTCAACTGTACAATATGAAACTACTGCAATAGCGCACAGTGCTATGATACACAAGAAGTGATGGCTACCTATCGATCAAATCCCGGCGTAACCTCCCCAGCAAAGTATATAAAAATATCCACGCAATACCCTGAGACCGCACACTGTACGACTCTACGTCCCCCTCACACCTGGAGCTCCGCCGCCCCGTTCTCCGTCTGCACCGTCACCCGTCCGTTCAGCCTCCTCCCATGCGGCGACCCCCACGACACGAACCCTTTCCACATCTTCATCGTCTTCTCGCTCACAACCCACATTCTCTGCCTCCCCCGATTCCCCGGGTCGCTTGCCTTCTTATTGACGTCGAAGCTAACAGGGCCGTTCGTCGTCCCGATCTCAATCGCGCCCTCGAACGCCGGATTCAAGTGTACGGTCGCGGGCGAGTTCGACGCGCGCGCCGAGAGCGTCAGTGTGCTGTCAGCCGGCTGAGATGTCACCGCGAGATCGACAGCACCGTTGGAGGTGTGGGCGGAGACGGAGAACGAGCCGCCGGTCTGGACGTAGGCGGCCCGGCGTAGGGATATTTTCGAGTCGATGCGACTACATGAAGGGGAAATCCGTCAGTCGTGAGGTGAGCGTATAAAGAAGAGGAAAGTGCATAGCCGGGACGTACGCGTTGGTAGTGACCATCGTGAGGTTACTCGACACGGTATCGGAACGCGATACGTCGTGGTCGAGTGTGACTTGGGCGTCGATAGCTTGGTTGGACGTCCTGAGCTCGAGCTCGCGCGAGACGCGGAACTTGCCGTCTATCCGCGCGTTCGAGGTCACCATCGTCGCGTTGTCCGCCTCGACGGACTTTGTGAAACACATCCATCATTCCATACACCCGGGAGGAGAGTAGCGCACATGCCAACGTACCCAAGCGTGAATAGGCATATTTGTCGAAGACACCTTGAGTGAGCCGAAAGATACCTTTCCCTCCAGTTCTGAAAATGCATGTTCAAACAAGGGCAGGTTCGTCTCAAACGCCTTCACGCGGAGCGGTTTCCCGAGGGGCGTCGCCTGCGCTGGGAAGCGCACCTCGACCTTGAATTCGAGGTCGCTGCTGGGCCACCATTGTCTCGGCGTCTGCGGCGACGCGAGCTGAGCTGCATTCCTCGACTCTAGGAGAGAAAAACCTACTAGGATAGCGATACTCCTCTGGCCCACTGCCGGCTCGAGCAAGCAGATGTTCGCTGACCCCAACGCGAAGCTGTTCTCGAAGTGCGGCGTGATATCCACGCGGATATTACCCTCCGGTATGGAGCGGTCCGTCGTCGGCACGAACACGATCGAGCCATGAGAAAGCGCGCCGCGTCCGTAGATGTACAGCAGGTCGGCGGAGAGGGGGAACAGGAAGGACGTTACGGGGCCTGACCGGAAGCGCGGCTGACCCACGTCCGCGGAGCTGCACGAGATGATCTTGCCGTCGGACTGCCTGGGATAGGGGATCTGGGATACAGGACCACCGTCGCCGACGTCCGGGTCAGAAACGTCTGGCCACTGAGCGGTGCGCAGTGCAAGGTAGGGTGGTGCTCAGGCTCGCTACCTTGCTTGCGTGATCGCTCGAACGGACGCTCACCTCGACATGGCCCCCTGACCTGTGGTCCCAGTGCACCCCGGCGATCGCTGTGCGCGTGAAGGAACCGACGACGAGGTATATGAGGACCACGATGCCGAACGCTTTGAGGAAGCGTGTCGCGGCGGGTTCGACCTCCTCGATTGGTGAGGACTCGCCGAAGCCGGATCGTTGGACGAGCGGTGTTCGCGAGTTGCCCGCCTGTGCTTCAATGTCTACATTCTGCTGCTGTGTGGGTGGGGGCCCGGGGTACGCAGGCGGTGGGGGAACATTATCCTCGTGCGTGTCCTCCGAGGCTGGAGAAAGGGGGCCTGCGCGCGATTTCGTCGGTGATGCGGGCGTATCGTCGGGGAGGATCATGGCTGACACAAAGCCCGTGCAGATTCGAATCGGTTGTAGGTGTTGCCCAGTCCGCAGTGGTACAGGACACCAGCTCGGTCCTCGAGAGGCTGAAGAGGGGCAAGGAAACGACAGGCGTCGAAGAGCGAAGGCACAGGCACCGATACGGGTTTTGCATCGAACGAACGCAAGCATCAATTGCGCCAAGTCACGACGGCGGGTGTTCCGATATTCCACATGACATCGCGCCGGCTGCGCCAGACTGCGCCATCACTGCGCTCCCTCAGCAGGGCGGCTCCTGTGTGGCTCGAGGGGTTCGCGAAAGAATGAGTGGAAACGAATCGCGTGGGCGTGAACGCTCGCTAGTCCATCCGCAGCAGACATTGAACACCGAAGGCACGAAGTACGCTGCAGGTGTGTCCGGTCTCAGGAGACATGAACTCGGACATGTGAACTCGAATGCGATAGAAAGATATCTGAGGAAGACAATTCCGCCAAAGCTGGCGAAACGTCAGAGCTCCAGTTTGCGTACGGCGCGTTCCAGCTGATGTAAAAACCAGCGTCGCGTTTCCCCCAGGCCTCCCTGTGCTCGGATCAGCGGCAGCCCCCTGCCGAGCCCCTCAAGCCAGCGCTCCGGCCACCTCCCAGTCAGGGGACAAGCTCGCCGTGACTGCGCGAAGTGTGCCCCGCCTCATTCTATGTGGTTTCAGAGCTACAGGACACACAATATTCTGCATGGAATGCTTCCCATGCAGATTCCCGCTGTGTGCGGGTGCTTCCAGCAGTGGACCAGAGTCGGGCAATGTCCTCGGTGTGGTATAGCTGGGGCTCGGCCGGGGTTTTCCGGTGGTCCGAGCACATCCCCGGGCGCGGGGACTGCGACGCTGGTTTTTACATCAGCTGTCAAGCCGTGTATGGCACCGTGGTGTACGCCATGATGCTATAACGGTGAGTTAGCAAGTGTCCATGCATTATCATGAGGAATATAAGTAATAGCAATTCAGAGTGCTCCGACGATCTTGGATAGATCCCTCGGGGCGACGCGCAAGGGTAGCACCATTACGACAGCACGGCAGGAAATTTGGCAAGTACTTACGATCGGATGGAGAGGGGACGTATGTATAAGATCAATTCTTTGTGGAAACGTCGCGCGCCAAAATTCCTTGGAAATAACCTTTGCATCCCCGTCTGTAACCCGGATCCCTGCCGCACCCGAACGCCGGTTCTTCATAATGGTCTGCTAAATAAGGGGTATAGACTTTTTGCCGCTCAGAAAGTATGGGTTTGAATTTTGAGTCTGGGTTAAGGCGGTAACAACACCTGTCCCTTCCCCGAGGGAATTCCGTCTGTACTTATCGGGCTAAAATGGCCATAGAGTGCCCGCCGGAGTGCCCCCGGCTTGGAGAACTCCCGGAGCGCGGCGAGGGAGAACACGAATATCAATGCCGGGTCCTCATGGCGCAAACCCCCAACCTACCGCCGTTTTTCGAAGACTGTCTTTTCCCCAGAGAGCCACATTTTTACGAAGTTTATCCTGTGCTCCACATTGCGCCGACACCCCTCGTGTCGAAAACGTCTGAGTGCCTGCGGTACTCTCGACGTGAGTATTGGAATCGTGAACATGCAGGCGCCCAGAATATTCGGAAACTACCTCAACACAATCCGGAACCCAGAAGTTTGGTCCACTATTCTTCATGACGAACCATGTTCATCACCGGATGACTGAGCTACTCACCCAGGGGTTTCGATGGGTATATCGCCCACGAGATGTGAAGCTGTTGAATAGCACCAGCAGCAGTGGTGGTGGCAGGCATGGTGTTGATGGTTTGGCGCCCATTTGATAGCCAGGTCTTGCCACAATACAGTGACGAATTGATACTCGAGCACTAAGCTAATCCTGTAACGAAAGAAGAGAAAGATAGTTGACTCAGAGGTGAGACATGGGTCGAGGCTGGGATCGAGGAAGTGCGGGATAAAATTGCACAGCGGAGGACGCGTTGGGTTCGTAAATCGCGCCCGGTGCGCACCTCTGCAGCACGCCTCCATCATCCTCTCCTTCGACCTTGGCAAACGTTCATCCAAATGGTGCTTCGTGCTGCATACTCTTTGCAGACCTGTAGAATCTGACTTGTACAACGTGCAGCTGCCACTATCGCTCCTTAATGCCGCCCAAAATAAACCCATGGTGAGCACCCATTCGCGAAACTAACAGTCGCCCCGGGCTGAAATCAGGAAGACTGATTGCTACACCCTCGCCCACGCGTAGTTGGTCGAGCTCAAGAATGGCGAGACGTTCAACGGTCACCTCGTCAATTGCGATAACTTCATGAACATCACCCTCCGGGAGGTCTACCAAACCAGTGCCGAGGGAGACAAGTTCTGGAAGCTGAGAGAGTGCTATATTCGAGGCAGCACGGTGAGTACGAGGTGTCATTCTTGTGCTGGGGTCGTGGCATGTTTGGTAGGGAAGGATGTCCGCTGCGAGTGCTCCTGCGATATGCAAGCAAGTGGCAGCCCAAGTTGGCGCATGCTGCTCGCTTCTTGCGCGGGAATGCGTTTGATGCACACCATCCTCCTCTAGTGTGAAAGCAAGAGTCAACGTCACGATGTGTCGCCGGTGACCATCTGCAAGCCGCGCAGGCCCTGAGAGATATGTACGCACATCCATGCAGCCCGATTCCGAGATCTGGCTTGCTGCTTGCCATCATCCGCAATACTTCGCAGAAGCCTGTTCGGCGTGAACACGAGAACGGCGGAGCGAACATAAGTTGACTCCCCATTTCACATGTTATGGCCGTCCCTCCAGAAATTGGACAAGCACGACCGCGCGGCATGCGCCAGCTTTCCGTAACCCTCCCGATTATCTCTCCCGTGACGGTGGCCACCGTGCGATTGATCTTGTGTAAAGGGAATCACAGCGTGTCCATTAACTTTCAAGTCAACAACCAGCAATTCGTTCCTTCAGATGGGAGAGCTCTCGGCATACAAAGCCGAGGTCTCCCCCACCTGAGCCATCAACTTGGTCCTCGCATTCTTACGTCTGCGTTTCTGAGTGCCCTTGTTCTTGTTGAGTTCGATTTCCAGCCTCTGACCTCGTTGCGTCTAGATTAAGTACTTGCGTGTACCAGACACCCTCTTGGACGCTGTGAAGGAAGAGCAAAACCGGGCAAGAGAAGCTGGCCGTAGTGCCCGAGGGGCACATGTCAGCGGTGCCGGTCAGAGAGGGCGTGGTGCGCCACAGCGAGGTGCGCTTCTTGCACTCTATTATCGTCAGTTTTTCGCTGAATCATCGTTGAACGACAGGCCGTGGTATGGTTCGTGGTGGGGGCCCCGCGCGTGGCGGACGTGGAAGGGGAAGGGGAATGTAATCGTCATCATCTTGCTGGCACGCCCACGAGCCTCGAATACTCTAACTTTGTATGTGATAGTCGGATAAGGACAGCTCATGTCACTCGCATAGGATATATTTTGACACTATGACGAGTAACGCTTTCATCTCAATGATGTGCGCGGTCAGATCTCTGCCAAGATGTGTCGTGTATGGTGGGATGAGTGTTGTAGTACAGGTGCAAGCAGTCGTGTTTCGTGTCGTATACATAAGAGAGTAGAAAGCATCTGCAAAAAACCCTGAAAGCGAAGACGGAGAAGGAGAAGCGTCCTAGTAAGGTTCAATCCCATAACTCATGCCGGGCACGACGTTGGACACGATTTCAAATTCCACGGTACTCGTGCCGTCCTCTGCCCTCCTGTGTGCCCATCGGCCCTACAAGACGTCCTATCAGTGACAAGAACAACGGATTGCTTCTATGAGAGACAAACCTCAAAAACCACGAATCCGATACCGATTACCCTGAGGACAGAGCCTTGGCGGAGCATCGCCCTGCGGACGCCTCCCTGGATCACTTCTGACTCGACGAACTCCTTGACCTTATGGGGATGCATCCAGCTGTTCGCGCTCATCCTGAACTCACGCAGGTTGTTGGCGTTGACGAGCGAGTCCTCGTAACGAGACTAGCCGGAGATTGTCAGCCAACATACATGGCCAAGTGGCACGCAGTCGGTGCTGCTTACCCCATCAGGAGTCCCAATTGTGGCGCACGAGAGCGTCTCGAGTGCGGGGAAGACCGTGCACAGACACTCGATGTCTTTCATCGTCATCTGCGTCGAGTCCGCCCTGAAGTGCTTTAGCGTGTCCTTGTGTGTTGACGCCATGTCGAGGATGAACACGCGAGGGATGAGCGTTTCCCCCTGCGTGGAGAACGCGTTCAGGGTGAAAGACTCCAGGCCCGGTCGGGGGGTGAGAAGTCGGATCCACGTCCATAGCTGCTGGAAGCCCTGAATGTGCACCGAGCTCGTGCGCACCGTCAACTCCCTCAGACTCGACGCTGGGACGTCATTGTATCTCGACAGTCCCGCCTGCCCAAAGTACTCCGTGTCGAGCGCCTTGAGGTGAGGCAGGAACGTCAGAATCTCGAGAATCGCCGTCGAAGGCGCGCCCTTGAGACGAAGCGCGCGGAGCTGCGGGAGGTGCGAGAGGACTGAAATGAGGATCGAAGCAGGGACACCTGAACACCGCTGCGAGAGACAAGGGAGAGCACGAGAAGTGAGCAGGACGTACAGTCATGCGGATGTGCACGGAAAAGCGAACTGACTCCCAGCTCGAGGTGCGTGAGCGACGGGCCGAGCTTGTCCGACCAGCCCTGGAGGATACGCGGCTTGCCCTCCATGCACCATATCGACACCTTGCGAAGATTGGTGAAGTCTTGCAATCGCGCCCAGACAAAGTCGGAGAGGCCGTAGAACGTCCGAATGACGACTTCGCGAAGCGGCAGGTTTTGGAGGATGTCAAGGTACTCCATGAAGTCGCGCTCGTCGCCAACATCGGAGCTGTCGTCTGACCAGGTGAATCCTTCCAGGTTCACACAGAGGCGGAGCGCTTTCCGACATGCTTCTCGCAGGTCGGGTCGATAGATACGAACGGCGCCTGATACGAGCTCAGCAGGCAGAACAACGGTGCAGTTCAGTCGTCAAATGACACTCACCGGCTTCTCTGACATGTCGTACATACTTGGCGTACTCAGGCTTCTTCAGGATCGTTGTCGATGGGTGTACGATCACGGGGGGCTGGGGCTGTGGCTGTGGAACGGGTGAGTGGTTCTCCCTTGATTTCCGGGTTGCCAGAATGAGAAGCAAAGAGGCCGTGCAAGTGCGAAGCTACCGCGCTATCCCAAGAGGCCTTGTTAGTTCACCAATGACTTCATAGGCCATATGTGCGTTCATGCACCATAACATAGATGGTTCGATTCATCTTCGGAGCCATCGACATACTGAACAGCTCCGGTGACGGATAGAATAGCTCACCTGATGCTTAATTTTCGTAGTAACAACCCGCACATCAAGCGTCCGATATAGTATCGGCGTAGCTGCATGGTGGAAGGCCTTTGAGAGGTGTGCGCAAGTACACAGGTCGTGGCGATCTGTGAGATACCCCAGAATAATAGGAAGCACGTCGAGGGGAAGTGCCTCAGCAGCGGAGGTTGCCCCGAACCCCCCGAGGGTCATTCTAGGCCTCGCAAACCGGGGCTTGGGTTTGCTTATTCAGGCGCATTAGCCCGTGTGCCACTATTAGGAGTGTGATTCTGGATGGTCTCACCTCTCCGTGTGCGTTACGGAAGCCAGCTTGCGCGTCCCGAAGGCCGGGTTTGCCAATAGTCGGTTTTGCTGCTGGTTATCGCGGACGAACGCAAGAGAGCAGTTCGACATGGGCCATGCGCAGATGACGGTGCGGGGAAACAAGGCAGGAGTCGGCTGGTGTGTAGGCTCTATGAAGTCCTGTGGGAAACCGCGTGCGCTAGCGATCAGCCAGGGACGGTCTCGCAAAACTCAGATCATCTCAAGATCTCCTCATGTTGATCGGATGACGAGTGTACGATAGCAAACGGCGCTCTTCTCTGTGTACATTCCGTTCCTGACGCCGCTCATTATACAACCACGAAGCACTCCTGGCCAGCCTCGCGCTGCCTGAGTTGCCGGCATACCGCAAGATGCGCTCTCACATGATGTTCCTCGGTGTCTATAAACCCGAGATAGCCTACACGCCTCCGAGGGTCCAAGGGTTCGCGAAGGGCATGTTCTACTCGTTGCGAATCCCTGGCTCCCCGTTACATCGTGGTTTGCGAGGACATTGATCGCGCAGAGTCGAAGCTTGGGTGCGTCGTCATGATCCTTTTGAAGTCAAAGCCTGATAGAGATGCTGATACTTACTTTCTCCGGGCAGTCACCTCGAAGCACTTGCAATTTGGAGGACATGTGCTTGAAAAGAGGTTCTCTGAACCTCCTCACTAACGCCAGGAAACAGAAATTAGAACAAGCTCTATACCGGGGTCAGAGTGAACTAGTACATGTGAGACAACGATGTGAACGTACCTATACCAGGATCAGAGTGAACTGGGGAACCCGGTATAAGTGTTGAGGTATATAAGAGGTCAGGTACGTAATGGGAGAGGGTTCGGGAGCGATCCTTACACCGCTCTGCTTCGTCTTGCAGACCTCGCCAGTATTCCGTGGAGTGTTTGGTTTTGGTTCTTCGAGCACCGACATTGCTCAGTCTCCCGCTCATATTCGTGAGGCTCACGCAATCGCTCTCGTGCCAGTCCCAGGTGCAACCGCTGGTATTTCATACGCGACGTTTCGAGCGGACAGACAACCCGCGAATGCCTCCGAACAAGCGATTTCTACACAGCGTACGTCAATGACTGACAGCCCATCAGGGATACCGCTGCTCATCCTTTCGAGTGATTGGTGCCATGCGTGATGTTAGTGCTAGTTCAGGTCGAAGACTCGCGGTGAGAAGAGTTGCCAGACCTCCAATCTGTCATTAGGGAACGCGTGATGGATGAGGCCTGAGGTATGGTCACTATGTCGCAAGAAATGGTTGCAGACACCGCTTCCTTTCGGATTCGTGACCGAGATGCGTGTTAGCTGTCCCTGTTTCAGCCTCAACACTGATTGTCCCGAGCAACCTTCTCAAAACAAATCGTGTTCGTTCTGCAGCCTCGTTGCTCCCAACGCATCGGACACTTCTTTGGGTGAACACCCGGCCAGCTCGGCCAGCTCGGACATGCCGGATCGCATACAGGTCAGAGGGTGAGCACTCAAACACCGCGAGGGTTTTCACTGACGGCCCTTGTTCCCAGTCCAGAGCACACGAGGTGCTGCGATGGTGATTGCTGCCCTCACCATTTATGGCTTCGAGAGATGAGACCACCATCGCACCCTCCGAATCGTGGTCCAGCCGATCCCCCTGCCGAAGCGTGAGCTGCGAGGAAGTCAGCTTCCACGCTAACGCCACTGTGCTCTGCATAACCATTAAAGGGCAAGGCAAGAGGAAGGTGCCCACGCTGTCGCCCCTAATCTAAGCTGCTAGATAGGGATGGGCACGTGTATACTCGTACGTGTATTGACTTGACCCATACCCGTACACGGGCGGGTGCATAGAGCAGGTCGAGTATGGGTTTAAGCCGGGTGAACGGTGTGTGTGGGCATGAGGTTGCAGTATAGCTATCCACTTGTCGCCAGTGAATTCTGCCAAGGGTCCTTTGTACACTGTAATCCAGCGGCCACAGTAACAAGTAGGTAGCCAGTGCTCCAGCACAAACTAATTCCAAGACGGCAGCACCAGTACGAGAATCGGGCACCCCTCTACATGTTCACGGCCCTTTCCGGGCATGTACAGCGGCACGCATTGGTCTCGCTGGCTAATAAGCCCGCAGCGGTGACCGTTGGCTATCAGGAAGAACTGTCGTGCTGTAATCACTTATAGAGCCGTTCTACCATATTGTCACGAAGGTTTACCTATCGGTCCACGAGTACGCTCCGTAGAGTACGGCTTTTGGGCGGGTTAACCGAGCCTTTACCCGTAGCCGTGCATAAGGCAGTTGTATCCGACCCGTGTCCTTCCCTAACTGCTAAATGTGACTGCCAGATGTCGTTTCAAACGCTTGATCGAAATATCCCCTCCCTCATTCCAACGCACACCCATACATCCTCCTCGCCACGTCCCTCCACGTTTTCCTATTCACCGCGAACTGCTCCGCATACTCCACCTCCAGATGATGTAGGCGCTTCCCTACTACAACCAGACTATGCAAAGGGTCCCCATATACCTCCGGAGGCTGCGCAAGGAGCTCGGCGAGTGTGCCCGCGACAATGCGCTCGTCCAGCCCCCCGCCGACGCGCGAGAGTGCGATCGCGAGAGTCGATTCCGGGGAGAGGATGCCGGTTTGGCGCAAGGACTCGATCTCGGTGAGTTGCGAGATGGCCTGCGGGATCGACATGTAGCGCGGGGGCTCGTAGATTTTCCGACCTCTGTTCAACGTTATGCATCAGCGCATACGAATGATGCTATATTGAACCAACAGCGGTATTTACCTAGCGAGGTTCTCTTCGCTCTGCTCCTTGACCTTGATGTCGAGAAGGACGAGGGTGTGCATACCGAGGTCCGCATTCTCCTTGATGCGGTCGTAAAAGCTGCCTGGCTTCCACGTCTCGGTGAAAAATACGAGGGACACCGTCTGTCCGAAGTTGTATAGCTGCAGGCCACAAGCGCCAACAGCGTTCATGATCGATGCGTTGTGGATGATACGCGTGGGGATGTTCAGCGCGCGGGCGCGGAGAACGATGTCGGTGTGCGTTGTGGCCCTAGGATGTCATGAATCAGCCAGGAAAGAATGGGTGAGTAGGTTTGCATGTACCCGTAAGGATCGCCAACGACAAGGAAAGCTACGTCTTCTGTATTTGCGTTGCGGAGAATGTCGTCCGATTCGGTTTCCACCATGTCGCGGTCAGCGAGGATGAGCTCCTTTCCGTAGAATACTTCCTTGCGTGATTGGTGAGTACAGCGTGATTTACTTCGGTATTTGTTGTCAAGCAAACCGACCAATCTCTCCTTTTGCACCATCAAGATGCTGGTGTAGGCCTCGAGGTATACTCGCGAGGACCCCTTTACAGCCTGCGATCGAGCGGTTAGAGCACGAATTGGAACGCTTGGGTGCTATACGCCTACCTCCAAGCCCCGGACGGTGATATCCTTCTCATCGCATAGGCCAAGTCCGACAATGTAGAACATTTTGACTTAGCGAGCTAACGGTTGAAAGGGAACGAGGAGCAAAGATGAGATCTCGATCGAGAAAAGAGGAACTAGATAAGATCTCAGATCCGCGCGATACTCAACGCCTGTTGCCAGGTCGATGAATCCACGGATTTCGTTGTGATGAGCTCATAACGACACAAATCTCAAACCGCACACACACCGGGACTCAACTTCGAATACATAGGCACTCAATCTAGGCAAGTGGTACGGGATATACGAACAAGTTCACATCAGCCTGGGCGGGCGGCGCTACGGCCTAGTCCGGGAAGTTAGCTTGCCAATAGACATTTTCACGAACTGGAGATAGTCGTGCTAAGATAATCGGCGACCAATCGTTCAAACAAGCAAAATTCTCAGAATGCAATGCCCTAGCATGGAGGAGACCTGCCCGTTGCATCCGTGCTAATACATTAATAACGATAGCCACCCGCCCCAAGAAGCAAAACATAGAGGAAGCACTCTGATACTCGTGGCTCACGTTGTGCGAACGAACGATGATGTCGCCCGAAATCAGTCTACCTGCCGCCCTTGACCAGACCCATCCCCAGCCTGTCTTTGCTAGGATCCTGCTCGAGGTCCATGGGGTCGTTAGCAGAGGCAGCTGTCGTCGAATTAAGAGGCTCGTCGCCGCAACCGCAATCATATGTCGCGTCAAGGTTTGCGCAGTCGAATTCGGGCTTCTTCAATCGTTCATTCACTTGATTGTGCACGAAGCACAGCCTGCATCGCATGCTGAGGCATGAGGAAAGCAAGCGGACAGAAGAAGGGATCTGCATACCATGTTGCCGCCGCTCTCCTTGTCGAAGTCTGCACGGACGTGGATATCGTTCAGCAGTGATTCGGCAGGGAGGGGAGAGAAAGGGGATCAAACGCACTTGTGGCGGATACTTCTTCAGGAGCTGCTGGAACTCTGCTGCACACTCCCCACAGGGGTATAGGCGAGAGAAAAGGTGGAAGTAGTTGTTGAGCGCATCCCGCTCATCTTGGGTAGGCTCCTGTCACAAGGGGAGAGATGTTCGAGATATTGGCTTAGGAGGAAGGTCAAGGGAGCACACCTCGGGAAATCGGAGGGTCATTGTATGTCTAGCGCCGCCATAACCAGTGAGCGGCACCCACGGTGCAGAGAGGAAAAGTACTCACAGGAGCTTCCATGATGCACGACCCAATTCGGCCCTGCAGCTACATAGGTTCCTGTCGTGACGAGACAGAACCGATGTACTCACTTCGCGGTAGCGTTCCCCAGTTTCGACATGATCACACCACCTTTGGAGCCTTGTGTCGGGGATATGACAGGAACCATCCCGCCTTCTCCAAAGAAATCTCCTGTCCAAGTGTCGACATATGTTCGGGACGGAGGATGTAGCAGGGCAAGCGACCCGAGTAGGAACTGTCGGAATGAATTGTTGGTCGACGGTCAGTCAGAGCATGATTGGACGGTGAGAATCGAGGACAGACAGCAGACATACCAAAGCAAAGACAGTAAAGAGAAAGCCCTTGCTGAATCGCGTGAGCATGATCATGATGGAGGACGAGTAGGAGGGTAGGTGAGCCGCGGGGGTAAACACGATTCATGAAGCGCGCGCGCGCGTCGCGCAACGTCGCGAGGCCAGTGCGCGCACATAGTTGATGCGTACGCGTTCACTGGCATCTGTACACTCATTTATGCTTCGCGATAGCATCCTGATGTATCTTGAATTTACATGGTGGATTCGTAGGAGGATGCGCTTCCAACAACCAGTCTCGCGACCACCGCAAAGATAGACCGCCCCCCGAGAATCTCGCGTAGATAAGCCGAAAGCTTTTATCGGATTTTGAAGTCTCCAGAGTCCACTTCAAGCTGCGCACATCTTTGTGACTCACCACCACCTCCACCACCTCACACATCCTTGACTCGTCTGGCTCACATATAACACAGCTACAGCCCTCGAAGGCCGCACACACTTCATCATGGCACCGATATACGTCGATGAAGCCGCCGGCTCAGACGACACCGGCAAGGGCTCCCAGGAGGCTCCCTACCAGTCCCTCGCATTCGCCCTCTATACCCACCCCGATGGCCAGTTCCAGATACGCAAGGATGCTGACACGCCGTACGACGAGCCTACGCAGTCCGCGCTGAAGAAGGCGAAGAAGGGTGCGGACGGCATCGAGAAGAAAAAGAAGAAGGCGGAGGAGCTCGCGCAGCGCGAGGCTAAAGAGAAGGCCGAGGCGCGGGAGCGCAAGGAGAAGAAATTGGAGGAGAGCAAGAAGATAGTTCTACAGGAGGACCCTGGCTTGCCCAAGGCGACCAAGGTGCGTATATATAGTCGAAGCAAAACTACTCAACCCACACCTCTTGCAGGCGAAGATCGCGAACCTCACCCCCCTCCGCTCACAACGCGTTCGCACGTCCGGATGGGTACACCGTCTCCGCGACCAGAAGGAGATCATCTTCATTGTCCTCCGCGACGGTACTGGCTACCTTCAGTGTGTTCTCTCCGGACAGGTCGCGCAGACGTACGAAGCTCTCACGCTCACACTCGAGTCGACCATCGAAGTCGTTGGCACGCTCAAAGTCGTTCCCGAAGGTCAGACCGCTCCCGGCGGCCATGAGCTTGTAGTCGACTACTGGAAGGTCCTTGGTGCGGCTCCTGGTGGAGACGAGGCATTTACCAACCGTCTGAACGAGGTACGTTCCCAGACAAGGATGGCACGCGACCTGGTACTCAGCACCGTGCGTGCAGAAATCGGACCCCTCCATCCAGGCCGACCTTCGCCATCTCGTCCTCCGCGGCGAGACCGCGTCCGCGGTCCTCAAGCTCCGTGCTGCACTCCTCGCCGGCTTCCGCTCCTCCCTCACCTCGCACGACCTGCTCGAGGTCACCCCACCCTGTCTCGTCCAGACACAAGTTGAGGGTGGTGCGACGCTCTTCAAGCTCGACTACTACGGCCAGCCCGCGTTCCTCACGCAGTCCTCTCAGCTCTACCTCGAGACGTGCCTGCCCTCTCTTGGGGACGTCTTCTGCGTCCAAGAGTCGTTCCGCGCTGAGAACTCGCACACACGCCGGCACCTCGCCGAATATACGCATCTGGAGGCTGAGCTGGCGTTCATCACGTTCGACGACCTCATGACGCACATCGAGGCGATCATCTGCGAGACCGTCGACAAGCTGCTCGCGGACCCGGCATCGGCTACACTGATCAAGCAGCTCAACCCCGGCTTCGTGAAGCCAGAGCGGCCGTTCCTGCGGCTGTCGTACGTGGACGCGATTGAATGGCTGAACAAGCATGACATCAAGCATGAAGCCGAGGATGCGGATGGCAATGTCATCAAGGACGAGCAGGGCAACCCGGTCATGGTCGAGCACAAGGTCGGGGACGACATCGCGGAGGCGGCAGAGCGTCGCATGACGGACATCCTCGCAAGGCCAGTGTTCCTGTACGGGTTCCCGGCGGAGTTAAAGGCGTTCTATATGAAGAAGATTAAGACGGAAGGGGAGCAGGGCTCGACGACCTTCACGGAGAGCTGTGACCTGTTGATGCCGGGCGTTGGAGAGATTGTTGGGGGATCGATGAGGATTGCGGATGCAGACGAGATGATCGCTGCGTACAAGCGCGAGGGGATCGACCCCGAACCATACTACTGGTACACTGACCAGCGCAAGTACGGTACTTGCGAGCACGGGGGATACGGTCTTGGCGTCGAGGTGAGCCTGTATGTACCCTTCCTGATAGGGATGAGTTATCAACAATTTGGGCTTTGCAGCGTCTCTTGGCTTGGCTCGCCAACCGTTACACGGTCCGCGAGTGCTCGCTCTACCCCAGGTGGCCGGGACGCGCGACGCCCTAGGTGTGAATAGCAGAGTTCGAGGTCAACGCAAGGTGTACTTCCTAGGTGTATGACATAGACCAGGGTTTCCAGCTGTCGAGCAGTTCCGTCGCAATCGCGAATGTTGTGCTATAGTGCCAATAAATTATTACGGCTTGTTCTAGGTATCCACATCTTCCTCTGCAGCGAAACATGCAGATGTTCCTGTACGGTCTAATGTAATATAGGACACACTTGGTCCACACAAGGAAGATATTATGGAAGGATCCTCAATCGAGCACATACCGAGTCATTTTCTCAGTACCCTGATGCCCCATGTCCTCGCACGATCCGACAGTGCAAAGCAGAAACGACATGCCAGCTATGGCATCCCACTCCCTTCTGCGAGAGCTGCGGCATGCCACAACTTCGACGAGGCTACGTCTCGTGATCAATCTTCGGAGCCCGAATCGGGTGTGGAAAAGCCAGGATGCTGGCGCTTGCATCGCCCATGCCCTCCTGGGACAACCCGCTCGCGCCCACCTTGAACTAGACCTTCTTCATCTCATCGACCTACTCCAGAGTCCACATTCTGGTCGGAACCTGAGTGCCAGCCTTGCGATACCAAGTCAGCCTGCTTTCGTTTGTCGGATAGAGTTCCTCATATGCATTGTATAGACTTTTTGTGGGTATGGGTTATTCTGAGGCTACATACAACTGCTCCGACAACGAAACGATGATCTCCACAATTCACTTGAGCCAGCCAAGGGAGTGGTTTGCCTCATCTCCGCGACACATTTCGGTGAATGGCAGACGAGGTCATTCACTCCATCCACCTCTACTCTTTCGGGTCGCCTAACCCCAACCATGAATGCAGTTCACCTCTACGAAGTTGCGCATCTTCCCGTTGCAGAAATTTGACCAACGTCCGACACCATGCAGATCAAGGATGCATTTGTCATCCACCTTGCAACAAAAGAATGTAAGCTGACCTTCGCACCCCGCAAATGCTAGGAACGAGGAGCGGCTCGGGATTGACGTTACTTCTCGCTTGGATTCACGTCAGATGAGTGTATGTTATGACTGCTCTAATCTCTCACTCCTTCGCGCACCCATCGTACCCTATACATCCTTAATACGTCCCTATCCACTCGCTGTTCTGCGTCATACGCTATCCCACTGTTATCCAATCCCCACACTATCCCTATATTGGTATCCAGCCTGGACCCAATGGGCAATTGGCGGGGCTGACACCGGGTCACGCACGCCGTACACCAGAGGAAGAATCGGCGATACTATATAGGATACATCGTCGAGGAGGACGTACAACATATACTTCACCAATGCAATCGATAAAATGTCAATAAAAATTCTCTGGTACGCTTACCAATCCGCACATTCACCATATTTCCACTTCTTGCATTTTCCTGATGCTTTCGCCCCATTCTCTGCACTTCGATCCTCCTTCTCAGTGAGGAGGAGATTCGGTCCATTCAATCTCTACGACTTCCGCATTCTTCCCATTTTCTCTACATCGATCTCTCCTTCCTCGGCGAGGAGGAGTGTTAGAATATGATGTCATGCGCTTTAGGCGCCGACGCTCGGATTCGCTCGATATACCTTACATCTCTCTTTCCACTACGTTCACCATCTCTATCCCCTCGTGTGCAAGCAACCCGCCTCTAGGTGGAGGGCCCTCCCCGCCGGATACGCTCTTGATCGTCGGGCCTGCGGACCACGTTAGCTTGTCTGGCTGCGCCGGTCGCGGATTGTCGCGGACGTGGCGAACGCTACCGATCGTCTCTGATGCAATGGTGGAGTCGGGTGGCTTCTGGACCCCCTTCGAATATAGCGAGTACTGTTTGTCACTGGCACAAAGAGGATAGGCTCTGACGACGAGACGCGCGAGGCCGCTGTGCCTTGCTTCAGCTCGTCGGCCATTCATCCTCCGCGCTACCTCCTTTCCTTGCAGGGCTTGGTTGGTCGACATCATTGCCGCGCATCACGATTCGGTCTTTCTAGTGGGTTGGCATGCCTCGTTTGTGCCCGACGATCCACGCTTTAGTGGACTCCACCCCCCCAACCCCGGATAACAACCAACGGCACGGTGTTAGTGTGGAGTCGCGTTCTCAGTGACTGGGAGCTTTCGAGGCCCATAGATGAGCAGATGCCTCCCAAGGCCTCTGTGAAGGGCCGCATTGTGCGTCCCCCAGCTATCGCTTCCCATATCCGCCACTGCTGACAGCTTTTTCAGGGAACGTATCAGTTCATGTCCGTGAACCTCCTCCAGTACCCTTCGGAGACTTCCAAGGTTGCGGACGAGCTCGAGTCGTTCTTCTACCTCATGGTCTACAACGCCTTCCGCCATCTGCGTTCGAGCTGCAACGACCCCGCCTGGTGGGTCACGACATGCTTCGATCACTACGCCGGCCCGCCGTAGGACGGTCTGACCGTCACCCGGAGGACTCCGACGATGTGACTGTACAATCATCGCTCTGGAACGCGGCCCCCACTACCGTTGCCACTGGATATTCTCTCGACAATTTACCACTGCGACGAAAGTGCGCTTGCCCTGCATTATACGTTAGCAAGTCGTATCTCCTGTTTGGCGATCACCTTGCGGCGTTGCTTCCGGACTTGAGCAAGCTCGATTGCCGCTACTTGAACACTCCGCTACATACACGGGGCCGGCTACTATGCTGTGACCCCGATATCGCTACTCAGGAGAATCGAAAGGTTTCCTCTTCAACCACCCCACGCGACGGCGCTGACTGACCGGCCGATTCCACGTGGGATCCTTCGAAGACCGAACTTTCGTCTTCGCAGGTCGCTGGATGCAAGATGCAAGATATCAGCTGCGCGCTGGTACTTAGGAGACAACTCGGATTCGCACCTGTCGTTTCCTGGAATTCGTCCGCTGGACAGAAACCCCTTCGTCCTCTTGTTTTCGTCATCGTGGGGTCATTTCCCCGCGATGGCTCTCGATGCCCCTCCTCCGTCCGAGCGCCCGTATCTCCTACTCAGGTGTCGGAGTGCGGGCGCGCGTCCACCGGGAAACGCTTTCGCTGTAGCGATGTCTTGCGGGGCGGCGCCTTAGGCATCGGTTAACCTCGTGGGGCGTCTATACGCCTAAGACAAGACAACCTTGGCAACGCTCCCATCATGGTGGCTCCATCGCCGTACAACTCCCAGCTTCAGCAACGATGGGATATGATCAACCGGTTGTGTCACGTGACCAGATGGCTTCGCGAGGAAGTAACCTGATGGGTTCATCGTACCTCTTTGTTGATGTGAGAACTATATGCAATCTACATCGCCATGTGCCAAACTTGCGGGACCATATTGTCGCGGTCGGTGTGCGTATAGTGCTGAAATGAATATGGGACTATAACGATGTCAATCAGTGCTTCTGGTGAGCGACGTCAGAAATGACTGTTGAGCGAACGGATCCACGACAAGCCTTCTGCGGCTCCCGAGTGTACAATTGAGGTAGGTCAACGAGTGTGATTCTGTGAATTATGAGTTCTACCTGAGCTAGGCCTGCAACAACGAACAAGACAAAGGCGCGGAAGTAACTCCCACCGTTCGCGGGCGCTAACACGGCCAGCGAGCAGAGAACGGCCAATGGACGTCCTGGCGCAGACGGGACTCCGGAGGATCCTCCCAACATTACATCGTCGACTCTGCACCGCTGGCTTGTTCACTGGACATCTAGCCGTCTGATGCTCTGCATCGACCAGGCGATCCCTTCTGACTCCCTTCTTTCCAATACCATATGATCGCATTGATATCTGTTGTCACCACTCTCTGGCCTATGCGACTCTCCCATCCAGCTTTCCGGACGATGCATTCAGGCATGTCTTATCCTCAGCAAAAGCTATACTGACCTGTCTTGTCAGAAAAATTAATCACATGCTTGCCTCCGTGAATTGCGCTCGGATGCTCCGCCGCCGCCACCCACTACGCCCCTAATCAACTACAGCATGCTACTACTCTCCTCAGACGGGAGATAGCCCACAGCAGGATCGCCTCCTGGTGTCCTCATGCTACTCCGGCGCTGCTCGGAGGCCTACGAGCATGTTCACGACAATCCGCCGGAGTTCCGCCGGCTGGTTCGACTTCCGCCGGAGGTCAATGTCCGGTAGTCAGTGTCCCGTTCAGGAGTTGCCGGCTCCGCAGTTCGTCGGTACATGCCAGTCAAGCTACAGCATAGAAAATGGTACGTCTCATTCGAAGCAATCGGCGATGACTCAAGCATGCAGCTTGGATGCATCAGGTGAATACCTGAGCATGCGCCAGGATGCCCTGGTGCATACACGCTTGTGCATGCTGCAAACACGACCGGATGACAAGCACCTCTGCTTTCGTCGCATCCGGTTGATTACCAGCTATATATGAAGTCTTATCAGACGTATATGCTGCCATATGCGCGTGCTACTACTATCCTATGACGATCCCTCGTTCAGGAATGCGCGCGAACTGGTGCTTGCCGCCCTATGTGGGAGTTTGACAGCTATGGAGTCCCTCTGTGCACAATGTTTACGTGCTCCATCCGAGTGTGTATACGTGCTCATTTGAGCATGTCGACATACCCGACAAAGAACATGGCTGCTACGCCACAAATGCCATTATGTCACCCTCCTTCGAGGAAGGCACATATCATGAACATCCTGGCAGAATGCTACCCCGCGTGCCGGTATCCATCACACTCACCAGAGTGTCCCTGATTGTGCATTGGGTAACGCTGTCTCTCGAAGAGGCTTGACCATGATCGCAAAGAGAACCAACGCTTTGGGTGTGTCGATGACGATGTCATCGAGGATCTCCGCCGTTGGCAGGAACCCTGCCTCGAACGATGTGGACGAGCACAAGTTACGAGCATGTGCGCGATCGAAGAGACTCGCTACGAGCTAAGCGTCTGCCTCCTTCGACTCGAATCCCCTATTGACGAGGTTGTCCATGAGTAGATGCCGGTGTCACAATGGAACTTCGTGAAATACACTTCCGCCTCTTCAAGATCGCGGATAGAGAAGAATTTCTTCGAGTCTCCTCGATATGCGTCTTGGCCTCGGACTCGGAATCGAAGGCGCTCCAGAAGACTCTTTCTCGCCCCCGTCCTCGGAGTTGGCGTTCAACGCGGCACGAGTGGATTCCCACTTGTACTCAAGTGGGACTGAACGCTGGAGCTTGCTCCGCCGAGGAGCGGCACCTTCTGGGGTACCGCCTCATCGGCCTGCTGACCCGTTTCGCAGTTCGGGCTCAGGGCCATCCATGAACTGTTCCTCCTGGAGATGCACAACACCTGAATGTAACGAAATTGACAAAAGGTTAGGCTCACCAACCCCTACGGTCATACGGATGGCATTCCTCCACTGTCGTTGGTGTACTCGCGCAGCTTTTGGAGAAGGTGACCCTATATGGACGTTCGCACAAGACCTACGTTGCGCCGAATATCTGCTGTAACCGTCCTCCCGTCGTTGATGAATGACTAACTTGTTTTTCCTGGTTTTCCTAAACCGATCAGAAGAACCGTGCTTGATAGCAAGTGCAGAACAATGTCCAATGTGTTGTCGTCCAATAGGAAGAGACATGCGCGATCCGTGAGCGTAGGGGCTCATCGCTAAGAGATCAGTCTATATCCTATGTAGGACCCTAGGTGCGCTGTCGACGATGAATGCGTGTTGAGTAGGACTGGGGACAGATTTGAGGAGTGAATGCTACAGGCCCGTTGGGTTGTGGTCTTCAGACGCGGGAATCCATCCTCACTTCGTCCTTAATCGCGACCACCACCCATTGGTCCACGCATCTGTCATTAATCTCTTGACCTTGTCTTCGCTCACAATCCCCGTTCCATTCATCTCTCTCTGGAACGACCTTCCGAGGGCAAAAAACACAGTGACTCGTCAGCAAAATGTCCGGAGCCGCAACCGCTAGTATGGACAGCAAGGCCACGGACAAGAAAGCGAAGAAGTTTTTCCTTCCACAACCTGCGGTCGACCTCCGAGAAGGTAGATTAACCATTCACCCTGATCTGATAAGTTCAATGACTTGGAGCTGAAGAACGACCTCATATCTTGAATTCATGCCCGAAGCACTGTACGCCAACGGACGGCAACCATCGGACTCTGAGAAGCGGGCGGTTTACGAGATGATAGTCAAGATGGAGGGCTGCGAGTCCTACGCTCGCAAGACACATTCCAATTTCTGTACGCATATTGAGCGCAAAAGAAAGACAGGCTTCAGAGGCATGTTCCTCCGTGGCATTGCACCGCTCACACGGAACCCACTGACACGTCTCCCGGCGACACACGACCAATGACCGTCTCTGGCAACATGCAGACTACGTCGTGGCATGGCTACAACAGGTTCCCAACCCGTCTCTCGCGGACGTGCTCTTGTGGTCGCGCGTGCTTCAGGTGTCTCCATCCGTCGTATTCGAGATCATCATGGCGGAGGTCCCGCGTGGCGTCACAGAGTTTGTGGAGCACCAGCATGCGGTGAGTGGGCATAGTCATGGCCAGACGAAGATTGGTTCTGTGCTCAATGATGTCTCTTCCTGACCTCCAGCTGAGCTTGTGCAACACGATGAACCCGTCTGTGTGATGGCGCTTTGACCTTTGTAGCCATGATTGGGAGAGTGGATAAATCGGGCAAAGAGACTTACACGTCGTCTTCGGCTCTCCCTAGTGAGGTGTGTCCTGCACTAGATTGTTCACGCATGTCCCTCTGTGTCCCCCTCCCTGGCATACTTCAAAACCTTCGTGGATGTGGATATCACTGTTTTTTCTTGGCATAAAGTTTCCCGTAGGCACGAGGATTACTGTCGTGGGTGTGCTATCCGATCTACGAACGAGACTTTGCCGCTGGTTGTCTCCCCGTCTGTATGCAGGATATGGTATGATCACACACTTCAAAACATGACACATAAGTGTGGAGAAATGGAGGGCGGCAGAAAGATGGACGAATCAGACGCGGTAGAGCCCACAATGCAGCCTCTAAGACGCCGAGGATCCTGCTAGCGTGCGTTCCTATATGGAGATGAATTCTTCCAGGTTCCTTCAAGACAAGCTTCGTCAAGACCAAGGAACTATCCTGGACTATAAGGCGCGGAGCACAAAAGGGCGGAATAGAGCAGAATGCAAAACCGATTCCCGAATGTCCCCGGTGCGTTTTGCGGCCAACGATGCACACGGACGTTGTCAGCGCGGGTCAGCGCGGCCGCCGAGAGGGAGCTCGACGTGGCGGTGTCATAGTGAGTTCTGCGACCTGAACCACTTGCGCGGGGCAAGGAGGCGGTGACTAGCAGAGATTGACATTCTTGGGGAAGCGCACAGACGAGGCTGGAGCAGGCTACTCGCTAAGCATCGATATGACCTGCAGCGAAGCGTCTCGATAGCGTGCGACGACAGATCACACGTACAAATCTATGCAAAGCAAAGCAAGCTACGACAATTACATGGTACAGCAGACCAACCCAAAATCAACCCCACGTTCATCAACGGCGGACAATGTGCTTGATGGAGCTTTTCCATCTCTATCTCCTCCACGAAGTTCCGCCTCGCATACCTCCATCCTTAGGCAATACCAAAACGCTCCTTGACTTGGGTGGCAGCCGCCGCGATCCTAATCTACTCATCCTCTGCCTCATCGTCCACAATTTCCACCAGGAACCTGGCGTTGGGCTCCGCGCCCGCCTCGCCCATCGTCTCGTCCTTTGCGCAAGCGTACTGCCTCCTGTACACTATCTCCCCCTCCCCGTTCTCCTCTTCAACGACGAGCACCAGCCGCGCCGAACGATAGTACTCCTCGAGCCCGAACGTGCGGCACGCCTGCATCAGTACCTTCGACACCGCGTGCCGGGCCCGCGTCTTGAAGAGCGTGCGGGACTCCGCATCGTCCGCGTACTCGATCATGATCAGGAAGCTCTCATCAGACTTGGGCTGGGGCTGCGTGGGACGTGTTTCTGAGGAGCAAGCGTCAGCATCCACCCTCGTCCAGCCAACCACTGAACTGTACCCTCAGAGCGCGACAGCGCCGGCTCGAGCTTGATCTCTTTCTTCTCCGTCTTGACCCTCGGCGGCTCGGGTCGAGGCGCTGTTCGAAGATGTCAGCACAGACTCTCATGACGAGACACTACGCGTACCATCCAGCTGCCTCGCCCGCGACGACCCCTCAGCCTTGTCCGTCCACCCCGCAGGCGGCCCGTCCAGCTCGACGATAGACCCACCGCTCGTCCGCGGTGCCTTCGACGGACGCGTCTGCGAGCGCATAGACGGGCCTGCGCTTGCAAAGTCCGCATCCTCCAGCTGGTCGAACTCCTCGTCGCTCCCGCTCGCCTTCCAGTTGCGCGTGTCGTCCAGCAGCTCGTCGGTCTCCGTCTGGTCAACACCGTAGTCCGACATGACGCGCGGACGCGCGCTCTTCTTCCTGGGGGACACGATGCGCACTTCGTCCTCCTCATCATCTTGGAGCTCGTCTGTCTTCGCTGGGGGAGGTGTCGGCACCGCGGAGTGGCGCGAGGGCGGGCTGCCTCTTGGGCTGGCGTCCTTATGTGGGGACACCTTGGGCAAAGATGTCGGGACTGGCGTCTTGCGTGCGCTGACTGACTGGCGTTCTACGATCCGCGGGGCGGGTGCGAGTGTAGAAGGCGCTCCAGAGCGAGGGATGGGGGCCGAGCCGCCTACGGACATGCGCTTCTGAGACGACAGGCGGCGCGAGCCGCTACTGAGCGACTCCGAAGGGCGTGGTGGGCCAGCCGTGGCGGGGGACGAGGCGTTGGCCACTTTCACTGTCACGGAGCGGATAACGGGGCTGATTGCCTTCCATGCTGCTTGATGGATGCGGACCAGGGTGCCCTCGAAGCCGTGGAGATCGTCCGTTTCGAAGACCAGCTCTCCCGAGAGGGAGAACTCGTTCCGGGCGACCTGCTGAGCTTCCTAGAATTGCAGTCAGTCATGATTGTGCAATAACAAAAGTTGGTTTGCCCGGACGGCTTGACCGCGACCGCGATCACAAAGTAGCCTCAGTAGCAGGCAGAATAGCGTGGGAGATAAAACGGAAAGCTCGTGTACGTAGGTTGGTCTCCCGCCTAACCGCCACAACTACGGCGGCCACGACTACGGCCATAGCCGTAGTCGTGGCCGGTCATCATGGCCAGCGGACTACACAAGGGCTGCGGCGAGATGTGTGAGAGCGCAGGGATTACAGTTGCTGGCTGCAGAACGCAGCCACTTTCCCAGACCGTAAGAGAGAGTAACGAGAGTACGCCTCCCAGCATGCTCCTCCCAGAGTAGGGATGGCTGCGGGTCAGGTGAAAGCGCCTCGGGTCCAGGTCCAGGTACGGGTACGGGTACGGGTCACGGTGACCCGACCTCAACCCGTACCCGACCTACTCGGGTGTGTACCCGCGCGGGTACGGGTACGGGTAAGGTCAAAATGCGCACGGTTAGACCCGTGTCAATCCCTATCCCGGAGACCCCGGAATTGAAAAGTACCCCTGCGTTTCTAATGCAAGGAACTTGGAGCTGTAGAGTGCCGGTCGTGCGCAGAAACTGACATTCTCAGGCGAAACATGCCGGGAAAGACATATATTTTGATGCGAAGAACGGTGGACCATACCTCGTAAGTTTTCGGTAACGGGAGTAGTACGCGTTCATGGGCATGACAGAAGATGATTAGCTCTTGAGTAGACCTGTCTTCTGCATCAATTCGTGATTTGAAAAGCATTTTCCTAGTGTGCATGTTCGTCAGCACAATTGTGAGAGCGCTATGTCGCGACTCACCTACAGGCCAGAACAAGGAACGAGCTGCGCGGTGGTGTAGAAAAGAAACCTGAAACGTCACGAACGATCGCGACACGCCAACGTAGTCACATGATCGTGGATGTGCCGAAAATGAAGCGCGCAAGAGACTTGTCCTAAGTTGGATTCATTACAGTGATTTGCAAAAAACACTGCAGGTCGCGCGCGTGGGCAAGGCTATTTGTTCCTATTTGGCATCCCCGGTAAGCGCTTGCCCGGGACGGAACGGCTCAACATTCTCTGTACTTATTTGCATTTGAATCTGATAGAGTACGAGGAGGGATGTAGGAAAATTACTCCCCTTTGATTCCGAAGCAGCCATGGAATTGCCAACTCAAGCATTGTTATAATAGATACAATGGTCCTGAGCGCCCAGTGCCCGAAACAGAAGTTCGCGCCGTAAACGCCCGGGAACAAACATGGGCAAATAGCTCGCCGCGCGGACGC